ATAAGAGTAGGCCGTAGTGCCGCTGTCCGGGCAAAATTTCCCCCATAGCACACACTGTATGGCGTATGCCCGTCTTCATTAGCCCAGTCAGAGCAGAACAGTAGGACGTTAAACCCCATTTCATTTCATTTCTTAAAACCTTTGCATTAATTTCAATTAATTTCAGAATCTACACGAAAAAACTGAGTGGAACTTGCAGTTAGCTCGTATTATGATTATACAACTTTATGTATTTTATCGATTTTATTATTGTCAATTAACATTCAATGAGAAAAAAAACAACCAAAAACAGCAAAAATATATCACAAACTGAATTAAAGTAGCTAAGTCTCTAACCCAATATCATCCCAAATCTTCAACATTGAAAACACGATTTATTTGTCAAATTAAATCAACATTCATGTTGTGATGTTACATGAAAAAGATGTGCTTTTGATATCCGATATTTAAGACAAAATCGTGTACCATAATGCGCTTCGGCCCCAGTTGTATCAAGAGACTCGAGGGACGAGGCTAGGCACATTGCACCAAATCAAACGGCGTATGTAGACTGGAATAACCAGACGCTAGACATTTTCACTCGCTTGAGACTACTGGCTTATTTCGCCGAACATAACTGATTTGAAATTTGAGTAAAAAAGGAATCCATTGAATGTAAATCAGTTTATATACATTCATATTACAGTATTATATGCGCTGCGACCCACTTTTGTCAATTTCTAGGTCCCAAATATTAGCGATTTAGCCCCTTTAAATACAATCATTACTTGGCACTTTTTCTCACAATACGAGAGCCTGAAAAACTACGAAAGCAAATACGTGTGATAAAAGCAATTTAACGTAGCTGGCGGCGTTTGTTAATATTAACGTTTTGAGGAATGATTTGAGAGTTTTTATTTATTTATTGTACGTCGGGACTAATTAGTTGTTGGAGTCAACAATGGTCAATGCTAACAATATAGAAACATAGCCAATCGTTATCAGATGATGTGATGCAGTATAAGCCCCCCGTCACACCAAACTAGCCCTCACTGCGTTCTGAAAATTGTTGGCAAACGGGTTCCAACTGTGTTCGAAAGACGTTTACGTAGTAACAACTATTTACGATCTGTTTAAGAACTTTATGGACAGGCTCTGGGTAGCGTGGAGGGGAAGGTGCTATTAAACTTTGGCCCCGTTCAAAATTTTCCCCGTCTTGCAATAAGACGGAGTGACAAAGTACTTAAAACGTACTAAGAATGGACTTTCTGAACTATGAATTGCCGTACTTCTATTCTACTGGGGATGTGTTACGACATGACGTGATCGAGCATCAATTTTAGGCCTCACGTTTGTCTGTTATAGAGTACTTCATTTGTCTTGAGCCATTCCACCATGCCGTCCTCATGCTCGGGGGACCAGTGTGTACTTCGTCGGGGTCCAGGGACTGGCTCAAGGTGCTCAACAACGTGGGCTTGATGTGGCTGGCCCTCAGACGAGCTAGATTTTGGGGATTTCCAGGCAGTATTAGTGACTGTTTTCCCACGGGCAGTCCTTCTGACACTTCTCTTTTGAGGCACAATGAAACACAAGAGACAACTTGAAGCGTTGAAAGGGAATGAGGAATGGCAAGGGCGCGCTGGGTTTTATAGACCCCGAGTTAGGATATGATCGCACACGCAATGCGAGCTCGTTCGAACGCACTAAGAACGAGATGAGGGCGAGTTACCAACTGGTTAGAACTATTTAGAACCAGTTGTGGACGTATGGGGAACGAGGTAGAACTAGTTACAAATGGGTTTCAATTGACTACGGACGAAAATGGCAAATCAGAAATTGCTATGAACGGACTGTGGGCGGGGTAGAGCCGTGATGAACGTATTGAGGACTGTTAATGGACTCCGACGTGGTTTCCCCTTGTCAGTGGTACAGGGCGGAAGGCCTGACAAAGACAGCTGTCTAGTCGAAAAACCGAGGTCCCGTGTATACATTGGCGTGCACGTAAAAGATCTCTTGGCAGTTTGAATTCGATATAAGAGTAGACCATAGTGCCGCTGCCCGGGCAAAATTTCTCTCATAGCGCACTGTATGGCGTATACTCGTCTTTATTAGCCCAGTTCGGAGAGATATAGAACTGGGGCTTAATGTCCACTCTACACAAACTAGGTCATTTCCTTTCCGCGTAGGGGTCTTTAGCAACCGGAGGAAACATGGGGACCCGGAGAAAACTTACGTGGTAGGACAGGCGACCATACTCCTTGTCACGAACAGCCAGTTGACTCAATGACAGAACTTATGATACAACGCGCACTTGCTAACCATTCGGCCACCCAACCCCCCGAACTTGTTTGAGCTTGTTTGGTGTGATCGGAGCTTTAGAGTGAGGAGGTATGATATACCAATTAACATTAAACACAGTCTTGAATTCGTGTCTAGAATATTTCTTTCGTAAAGATTTTTAACCCGTGATTTGGATGTGTTTTTAATAGCCGTACACCAACCGTCTTCTATGAGATTTTTTGATTCAGATTTTACATTAGTACCCGACTCTAAAATTACTACTTACTGCTCAATGTTGAAATCTTTTTTTTATTATCTTTGTTTCGTAGCGATATCCAGTCCCTTATTAACCGTTAAGCCGAATAAACGAAGAACGAAGTAATATTACTTTAGTAGCTGTCCCTAACATTTCTAAGGTTGGACCAAATCTTGATCTCGCCTTTAATCTAGCGATATCCAGTTCCACCATGTTGAGTCTCTTAGTGGTATCGATGTCCATAGCGGTGATAATGTCCACAGAAATGACATATTTTACAAAAGTTAGTCTGACTTCCATGAAACAGATGAATTACACGGACGTTTTACATGTAAGCGGTATTTTGGAATGTGCTAGCATCTGTTCCCAGAGCTCAAATTGTGACATTTTCTCGAAGCACCAAGGCGAGTGTTACTTTCTAAATTCTTCAACTACAGAATCAATTGGTGCTACACAAGTAGCTTCTCTCCATTTAAACACTGGACTCATAGGTTAGCAAGTTGGTTATAATTTTAAACACTGGACTCAGTGCAGGTGAACGGACTAGCGGCCCGGATATTAAAACCGACCATGGTATCCTTCATCTACTATGTCGGCTCATTATATATATTCAGTCGTTATTGTTCGGTAGTATTTGTATCCAGCCCAGCGACCAGTTTGTTACCTGGCGGCCCCAGTCCTCTAGACATTGCCGTATGACGAGTCGTTCCCTGGGTGAGTGTGGACAGTTCCTCGCGGCTATAGTCATCCAAGTAACTTAAAGTCTTGTGCAATTGATTGTTTCAATGGCATTTATTAAAGATACATTATGGGAGATTCGATAACGAGTTGGGAGTTCTCACTATAATAGTTAAAAACTAGATAATGTAAAAGCAATTTGCTGAAAATTTCATTCAAATTGAACAACTGTGAACCGAGAACTAAGCGATTGAAATTTCCGCCTAGCCTCGATCATCATTAGTAAAGTCAGTAAGATAAACAGCATAGTCTCGATTATCCATTTAATCTTTAAATCGTGAAGGAAAGTTATGCAGTAAATCGGCTCATAATCCACTAAAGATCGCAGGCTAGCGATGCCATCGAGAGTTGATTATGGTCTGGATAAGATAATTAATGTCCAAGTAATAATTTAAATAACATTTCAAGCCTAAAGAAACACCTGCGTTAGATAGATTTAGCTTGCATTATGTATGTTTAATTGAACTGTGTTACTGAGCGATGTTTGGAAAAATTCCCCTCATAGCACACTGTATGGCGTATGCCCGTCTTCATGAGCCCAGCATAGGAGCAGAACAGTAGGACGTTAAACCCCATTTCATTTCATTTCCAATTGCAAGGCATAACCTCCTCATATAGTTGTAGGAGGGTATGTTCACCTTTTCAAGAATATCTATTTGTGCTACTCATTCGCTTTCGCCAGAGAAAGGAGGAAAAAGGGTTTAATGTCCAATCGACACAAACTAGGTCATTTCGGGAATAACATGGTTCAATTTTATTTCTATAATTCGCTTGCGCGTAGGGGTCTTTAGCAATGGGGGAAACCGGAGAACCCGGAGAAAACCCACGAGGTTGGACAGGCATGAGTAGACAGATTATAAAACATTAGTATTCATGAGTTGAAACTAGGTCATTTCGGGAATAACATGGTTCAATTTTATTTCTATAATTCGCTTGCGCGTAGGGGTCTTTAGCAATGGGGGAAACCGGAGAACCCGGAGAAAACCCACGAGGTTGGACAGGCATGAGTAGACAGATTATAAAACATTAGTATTCATGAGTTGAAACCTTGACCTGATCTGGTTACGTTGTTTACGGTATTAATGTTACATAATGTTTTTATTTATGTATCAGCTTGATAGACCGGTAAAGCAAGACTTCGACCTCGATTAAATGTGCAGAAAACTGGATTCAACTGTTTTTGTATCTAGGTAGGGCAGTTGCATAGCAACGTACCAAAAGTCTTCCATAATGCGGATCTGGCAGAAAATCGACAATCAATACTATCCAGAACAAAATAACGAATTTAACAATTTGTTTTGTCAAAAATGAATTTTTCACTTAGTGCTGGCTCTCTGTTTATATTTTATATTTGTTCTGCTGCGACTAGGATAATAAAGACGGGCATACGCTATACAGTGTGCTATGAGGGAAATTTTGCTCGAGCAGCGGCACTACGGCCTACTCTTATATCGAATTCCAACTGTCAAGGGATCTTTTACGTGCACGTCAGTGTATACACGGGACCTCGGTTTTTCGTTCCATCCGTCCTGCATCGCTGACAAGGAATATTCCAATGAACTTTCTCGGCCAATACAGGGATCGAACATGTCTTTAATTCAAACACTTTCACCCAAAATATGATTTCTCGCTTATGTTACCATTTCTTATTCTCATTTTCGGAGATCATCTCGATGACCTTATTTTGATATTATTTTCAATTTGTCGACTTTTCAAAATCGATCATGATAGAGTTTTTATATTACAGAGAAATGTACTACACAAGCTTACATTACTTTCTTAAAAGATGGATTTTGTTGGAAAGAATACACCACAAATTATTATTGGTCAACAGCCAAAACCACGTGTGAACAAGATGGCGGAAGGTTGATTACGATGCGGACATGGGAATTTGGTGTGAAGAAATTGCGACTTGTAGATATGAACTTGAGGGGTGGGTAATAGAAAATAAGTTCTTGTTATCGGCCGCTGTAATTCATTCGTGTCTTTCAGCTATAAGAGTTACTATAAGATGACCCGACGTGATCACCAGTAGGAGAAATAGGGATAAGGCCCGGTCACTAAATGTAAGCCATTTTAGGGCCCATTGTTACCTGAAAGCAAAGGATCGTCCACAGACATGATTCACGATGTTATCAATTTAGAACCACCAGAGTACCATCGAGTGGACATTAAACCCCCTCTCTCTTATAGAGCACTTTGTCACAGCCAGGGGGGTTGGGTGGCCGAATGGTTAGCACGCGCGCTGTATCATACGGTCTGTCATTGAGTCAACTGGCGGGGTTTCGATTCCCCGGTTGTACGTGACAAGGAGTAGGGTCGCCTGCCCAACCTCGTGGGTTTTTACTGGGTCCTCCGGTTTCCTCCCACTGCTAAAGACCCCTACGCGCATGCGAATTATTGAAATAAAATTGAACCATATGTTAGTCCCAAAATGACCGAGTTTTTGTCGAGTGGACGTTAAACCCCATCTCTCTCTCTCTCTCTCTCTCTCTCTCTCTCTCCCATTCACAAGAATTTGCTCCCAGCAATGACATCAAATGCCAGGAATTTGACTTAAATTTTCAAAAGTACACGGTACATTATTTATACGTGGTGAAATATTGATCTCGCGTGACGATTTCATCTCTCTCTCTCTCTCTCTCTCTCTCTCTCTCTCTCTCTTTCACAGCCATCTGATGGTCTAGAGAGTTGATTATAGCCTTGTCGTGTGAATAAATGTCTATTTAATAATTTATATAACATTTGAAGCCGATTTATCTCTGACATCATGTATCTGTAATGTTGTTTTATTGTCAAATGGGTTCGATCCATATTTTTTGCTTTTGTTGTGTGTATTTTTTGTTTCTATTTAATCATACATGGAGGTGAGAATCATACATGGTTATTTTTTTTCAGCAACTCAATATTTTATGGGAGGCAATGATCTGGATGTGGAAGGGGTATGGATGTTGGAAACCGGGTCAACCGGATAGCTGGAATAACAACGAAGATTGTTTGGAGCTCCGATATCCATTTCCGAGATTCTTCGATACAAATTGTCTGAAACCCAAGCCATGATAGAACTCTTCTGAAAGAGCATCAACCCTTTTCAGGTCTTGATGTTCGGTAAATTAATTCAGGTTTGACGTGATTTTAGAATTATTATCCAGTCGGATTAATCAAGTTTATATGTCAGATTTAGGCACTCCACAAACAAAACAGAGTGAGACCTGGAGACATTAAAGACTCTATTTGTGATTGTATCGATATGAGAATTCCCTCTAAACTATAATATCGTGAAATTTGGATCTCTATTAGGAATGTCGGTTCGGAAATTGTTCAATTCCCTTCATATATCTTATTTTGGTCTGCGTGCTTCTATGATAATGTTATTTATCACCCAATAATACATTCTACAGTAGATATCGCTTGTGTGATAAATTTCATAATCTACTGCGATATCTCATTAGGAGATATTGCTTAACATGAATTTGATTGGTCAATCAAAAAGGAAGTACTTTTTTGTATTTTAAAAGAACAGTTCATTTTTTATTAAAAGTAACTTCTTTCTTAATAAAAAGGAACTATTTTTATTTAATTGACCTTGATGGAAACACTTGGTCAATATAAAGGACATTGCAATGGTTGAATTGCTGTTAAAAAATTGATGTATCACTACGCCGTAATGTAATCAAGTTCAGTAAAAGTGAAATCTATAGCAAAGAAATATATTTATTTATTTGTGCATGTAAGAAGGGATTGGGTGATAAATAAAATCTCCTAATCGTCTTTTTTGATATCAAAAAATATCAACACTCGTCGATAAAGTAAAGAAAAACTCGACAAAGCCTCGTTTATTTTTTTTTTTACTTTATCGACTTGTTTTGATATTATTTGGGGATCAAAAAAGACGAATAGGAAATTCTCTATATATATACACAGGCTTTTAGGAATAGACGAACTCTTTCCCTTTGATTTCTCAAATCAATATGTAACAATAAATATATAGACCTGCCGAGATTCTTTCTCACTGTTTTAACAAATCAATATTATCCATGACAAAGTTAATAAGCTATTCATGGCTTAAACCAAAATTAACATATCTACATGGATTAATTTTTATATAAACCTATTCATGACGGGGTTGATCAGCTATTCATGTCTTAAACCAAACTTAACATACTTTCATGGATTAATTTCTCTATAAACCTATTTAAATTGTGTTTGGTTAGGCTGGTAGTATGTTCAATTTATATAGTCGTTTAGTCGGGTCGAAATACCGAGGTCCCGTGTACAGATTGGCGTGCAAGTAAAGCAACTGAAATGAAATGGGGTTTAACGTCCTACTGTTCTGCTCCTAACCTGGGCTAATGAAGACGGGCATACGCCATACAGTGTGCTATGAGGAAAATTTTGCCCGGGCAGCGGCGCTATGGGCTACTCTTATATCGAATTCCAACTGCCAAGGGTTCTTTTATGTGCACGCCAATGTGTACACGGGACCTCGGTTTTTCGTCCCATCCGAACGACTAGACAGCTGTCCTTGTCAGGCCCGCCGTCCTGCATCACTGACAAGGGGAAACCACGCCGGAAAATTTGAATGAACTTTCTCGGCCAATGCAGCGATCGAACACCCGACCTCCAGGCTAGCGAGCCAGCGTCTTACCCACTTAACCACGTGATCCCCCAAGTAACGCTAGACAGTTGGAAATCGATATACAAGTTCGTTGTAGTGCCGCTGTCCGGGTAAAATTGCCCTCGTAGCACACTGTATGGTGTATGCACGTCTTAATAAGCCCAGTCGGTGCAGAACACGAGGCCGTTAAACCCCATTTCATTTCATTTCATGTTCAAATTATCATAACTGTCGTACTTTGGTGGATTCGCCCAAGGTGTTCTCGGGTTTCTAACAATAATTATATGCTTCCGGTGCGACCTGGTCTGCAAATCAACAGGAGTCCTATATCTACAGGTAATACTTAATAAACACGATACCTATATCTACAGGTAATACATAATAAACACGATACCTATATCTACAGGTAATACATAATAAACATGATACCTATATCTACAGGTAATACATAATATACACGATACCTATATCTACAAGTAATACATAATAAACATGATACCTATATCTACCGGTAATACATAATATACACGATACCTGTATCTACCGGTAATACATAATAAACATGATACCTATATCTACAGGTAATACATAATTTACACGATACCTGTATCTACCGGTTATACATAATATACACGATACCTGTATCTACAGGTAATACATAATAAACACGATACCTATATCTACCGGTTATACATAATAAACAGGGTACCTATAGTGTCTGTTTAACAGACATATTGAATTACCCTTCATCATATGATCAAGAAATTCGGCGTCAACTGGTGCGTTACTTTGCAAATAAAATGAAATAGGGATATTATAACTAGAACACGATCCAACATTCGTTCTTCAAGTGATCGTACCATATTGGGGATTCCTAAATATAATAAACATTCTGGTGAATATGCTTTCTCCGTCAGAGCATCTAAAATGTGGAACGATCTTCTAAAAATTCTTCGAGAACCCGGCCACTTCCAAGCAGAGTTTATGACTGACTTAAAAAAATATTTATTTCAAAACCAATCTGATTAAAATACAGATCTATATTTCGTTTCGTTTTTTATACTTTCGATGGCCTACACTACATGAAGATCTGACAAGTTATAGCCATAGGTCATGTCAGGGGTCAAAAGACTAATCAGCATTGATGTTACTAGTGGATTACCCACAGTTCCGTGCAAAACACGCCTAAAGCTCGCCGTAACAGACCGTTTCATTGGCTTATCCCTCACACCATTCAGAACACGATTTAAATAACAATTCTTCCAGATCCAAGTGTAGTAAAACAAGTAAAACGAAATTTTGAACTATAAAAACGAAACGAAATAGGATCTGTGTTTTAACCAGATTGTGTTTTAAACAGACCGTATGGTCTAAGATGGTAAACGTAATAATCTAATAAGTACATATCTGACGGTGAAATGTAATGAAAGGAGATGGCATAATCACTCATATTGTTCTGAAAAAAAACACAACAAAAATAAAACATCAATGACAAACATATGAAATGGTAATCCATTAAAAGAGAGAGAGAGAGAGAGAGAGAGAGAGAGGGAGAGAGAGAGAGAGAGAGATGAGGGGGTAAACGCCCACTCTAGCAGCTGTTTTCCTTTCCATAAGCATGTGTTTTTGTTTTACTCTAATTACTCAATGCCATTTGAGAGAGAGAGAGAGAGAGAGAGAGAGAGAGAGAGAGATCATTTCGGGACTAACATATGATAAATTTTATTTCAATAATTAGGCAGGCGACTCTACTCATCGTCACTTCCGACGCTTATTTGCTTCAGTGAGAGACCTTCTCATAAAAGAAAGTCACACGCGTTAACCAACTCGGGCCTGGTCCCGGACCACCGTAATCCATATTTATATAAATCAATCATTTGCTCATAGGCTGTAAAACATATAGCTACCAGAACTCTCACCACCCATCCTGAACTAAAGGGGCCCATACACATTCAATAATTCCGTCAATATTATTGACTCAATATATTGACTCAATATATTGTGGGCTATACTGATGTAAAATATTGTCAATAACCATCATTGCGTCAATATATTGACGGATCAAAACCATTTTGATTTTTATTGATGGTTCATCGATATATTGACGGACGGTCAATTTATTGAATGACAATATTGATCGTGTGTAGAGAATCTGTCAATAATTGCGTCAATATTTTCATTCCATCGTCAACCTTGGAAGAGTAAACATGGCATCCATTTTGAAAAATGACCAAAAAATGATGAAATTATTGATGGAAATATTGAATCGTGTGTGGGCAATTCCTGTCAATATTATTGATTCAATATATTGAGTCAATATATTGTGTCAATAATATTGACGGAATTATTGAACGTGTAGGGGTCCCTTAAAGATACATTATGGGAGATTTTTATAGAGAGTTGGCCATTCTTGCTATAACAGTTCAAAAGTAGATGATGAAAGAAGAATATATTGAAAAATTCAGTCAAATTACTTTTGTCTGAACATAGCTTCACCTTCGCCGATCATTTGATTGACAGGCGTTAACTCCACCTACATATCTCGATTATCAAGTAAAGTTTTCAATGGCATACGGAAACGCTTTACAGCGGCCTCGCTAAGTACACTCTATCATTTAGCCTCGATCTAACTGACGTATTTTCATCAGGTTACCCCTTATTTGATTTAATCAATTAGTGAAATCCTATTTAAATCCGAGCTGTAGCCGAGCCATCCGTGGGTCTACAGAGTTGATTTTGGTCTTGTTGTTTAAAAAAAGATCTAATTTATAATTTCTATAACATCTGAAGCCTAAATTAATCAGATTTAGCTCTTGCATAATGCATGTTTAACATAGAACCCAAAATGGTGGTATTTACCTTGTTAGCGCCATATTTGTCATATTGATAATACCATGAAGGGAAGCCTCTCATTAACATTGTTTTAGTATCGAAGCAATGGAAACGGCTTCTACCTTGGTCGTCATGAGAACTTTCGGTCAGGACATCAAGTTTATCCATACATCTTCCAAAATCGACATCTTCGTAATTTCCTGCCTTTACACAGGATTTGTTGCTGAATTTACCAAATCGTCTCAGGGCTTCTTTACTTAGAACATAACCAGCACCCCCGCTATAATATCCCTGTTTGAGGAATTGATTGAACCAATGTCCATAATATACCGGCAGGCTGGAATTCTTTGTCGATAAAAAATATCGAAGATTTTCCACAATGACGTAAGTGTCGTCATCGGCTTTCATGAACCAATCAGCGTCATTAAAATGGTTGTGATAAATGTACGTGAACGCCATCATTGTTTTTTCGGTAAGATGTTCACGACCCTCAGAAACATTTAATCCAATGGCTGGAAAGTCGTCATCGGTCTTGGAACTGAAGTAAAGGACCTTGTTGCACCTCTTACCCCACGTTTCCTTCACCGCTTTACATTTTTTATATAAAGTTTTTGGTGCCGTCATTATCCAGCATAAAACACGAACTTCCTTTTCCAGTTTCAAAGCTCCATTGGCCCCAACTGAAAAGAAATTAATCAACATAAGGGATACTCGATTGAACGTTCCAGAATTAAATTCTCTCAATTCCGAAAATAGTGTCAATCGAGTGAACAGGAGAATTTCGGAGTACAATCCATGTGCCGACTGCATAAAAAATATCTCAACCAATCATGGCAGCTGAAACATATTTGTTACTTAAAATACGTCACGCTTCTACTCACACCACCTCAGCTGTTGAGGGACTGGCGGTACTGTGACAGGACTGAATTCCGTATCACTTGATTGCAATTCTGTCAATTCGGGACGTTCCGGACTGACAATCATGCACCCCCATTAAGCCATGATCAAGAAGCTTAACATTTCAATGTCCTCAACTGAAAATACAAGAGTTATTTCCCTTTAATGGTCTAATAACTAGATCTATTTAACATGTACACCTGCAGATTCCGTCATAGGTCACGAGATGTAAACTGCGCTAGCACCAACCCTAACCCAAGACCTAACCATTACCCTAACCCACAATCCTCGGCAACAATCAGGTACTCTTACCCAGTGAAATAGCAGGTGAAATAGCCGTGGTCTAATGAGAGAGAGGGAGAGAGAGAGGGAGAGAGAGAGATGGGTTTAACGTCCACTCGACACAAACTAGGTATATTCGTGACTAACATATAGTTTAAATTTATTTCAATGATTCGCTTGCGCGTAGAGGTCTTTAGCAGTGGGAGGAAACCGGGGGACCCGTAGAAAACCCACGAGGATGGACAGGCAACCTACTTCTTGCCACGTACAGCCAGCTGAGTCAATGACAGACTTTATGATACGTGCTAACTATTCGACCATTCGGCCATCCCCCACCGGCAACCCACCTCCCTAATTGCACAATGACGTTAACTTAAAATACAGACAACACCCCCACGTGCATTTCAATAGAGAGCTTCAAATGCACTCCAAGATTAAGAACTAGGCGATTCCCTTTTTGCATGCTACGTCATCAGTTGTCGGGGGCTTCCCCCACGGCGGCAGACGAACTCGTGAAACCGGTTCGAATCCTCTGAATTCATAAGTGAATTCTGTGGTTGTTTAATTCTATTTTAGACAATCTTTTTCATAATTATACCGAAACATATCGCTTTCATATATACCAGCCTTTGCTAGACACTGTTTGACTGATCGAATAAAAGCGAAATGATAGAACGAATCGACACTTTCAAACATTGCACTTTTTTGTCTATTCACGATGAACTAATGAAATCTGAACCGTGAAAGTGCCTCACGTCTTACGCGATCGACGACGACTTCTCATCGTTATCGTTCTCGGAACGCATCTGAATCTCTCTGATGAAATCGTCACGCGAGATCAATATTTCATCAAGTATAAATAATGTACCGTGTACTTTTGAAAATTTAAGTCAAATTCCTGGCATTTGAGGTCATTGCTGGGAGCAAATTCTTGTGAATGAGAGAGAGAGAGAAAGAGAGAGAGAGAGAGGAATGGGGTTTAACGTCCACTCGACACAAACTAGGTATATTCGGGACTAACATATAGTTTAATTTTATTTCAATAATTCGCTTGCGCGTAGAGGTCTTTAGCAGTGGGAGGAAACCGGGGGACCCGTAGAAAACCCACGAGGTTGGACAGGCAACCTACTTCTTGTCACGTACAACCGGGGATTCGAAAGCACGCCAGCTGAGTCAATGACAGACTTTATGATACGTGCTAACTATTCGACCATCCATGGGATTTAACGTCCACTCGACACAGACTAGGTCATTTCGGGACTATGTTTCATAATCAGATCATCTGATGTTAAAGACGCTTCCTGCCAACTTGACACCTGTTCGTTATCGACATGCCTGGAGTCCTTGGTCTATGTGATTATGTAATGATTATGTAAACGTTAACTTGCTGGCATGTTTTATTTAAACTTTCTTTGTCTGATTAGCATGTATCGAATGTTAAACTATATATGATACATTAGCCAGATGTCTAATAAGATTCCTTTGTCTGGAATGGTTTATAAACCCAGATTAACAAACGAAAAGGGCAGAGAGGTCCAGGCAGGACATGAGAGCAGTCGGAGGCTAGGCGACGTCTGGTAGTTAACTCCAGGCCACGCTGGTTTGGAGTTAAGACCGGACAACGGCCAACTAATGTAAGCTAGTTATGGAGCCTTTAAGTTTTGTATATAATATGTTAGAAGAAGCCGAGAATAAAAGTATTTTAAGATGTTAAACTAGTCTTGTCATCCAGAACTTGATATAAAGTACCAATACTGTCACAACTAACATATGGTTTAATTTTATTTCAATAATTCGCTTGCGCGTAGGGGTCTTTATCAGTGGGAGGAAACCGGAGGACCCAGAGAAAACCCACGAGGTTGGACAGGCCGTGTAAATGGGAGGACCAGAAATGGGACAGAATCTACCAGGTTTGTGAGAGTTAGGAGAAGACCAAAACGGAGACGAAGAATGATGGAATCGAACGGTTATTTCAGATAGCGACGCACAATATGTAATCTACTATGCTTTTAATTTTTTGGGACTGGGTATGAGGGGGCGGGAAGCGGGGGCTGTCGCCGGGAAGCCCCCACCCCTCCCCTCACTACACCACTGATAATGTACGATTGAAACGTAAAAAGCCCTATAGCGTCACATCTGTATTTTAAGAAAACGCAACGTTGGTGTAAAGTCAGGTGAAACATAAGTTATGGTCAAAGGAGAGACAGACCGGGGTTTAACGTCCACTCAACACAAATTATGTCATATCGGGACTAACATATGGTTCAATTTTATTTCAAAAATTCGGTTACGCGTAGTTGTCTTTAGCTGTGGGAGAAAACCGGACGACCCGGAAAAAAACTTACGAGGTTAGACAGGTGGCCCTACTCCTTGTCACGTACCAGTGGGTGTATCAAAATCACCGTACTTGATTCCATGATAGACTTTATAATCGAACGCACAGGCGTTATATCGACGACTATAAAGACAAAATAATATTTTAAAATCGAATTCTCTTTTGTCATGCGTAATGCAATTTGAATATTATTATTACATTTTGGAGTATTATTTATGCGCTACGTGTACTTGAAAGGAAATCGTTTTTACCAGATGGCGCACTAGCGGTAATAAAATAGTTTATATAATGAACGCGGTATACGTGTAATGCTAGGTTTCCACGGGGTCACGGTGGCTAGGTGGTTAAGACGCTGGCTCAATAGCCTGGAGGTCGGGTGTTCGATCCCCCTCAGTGGTCGAGAAAGTTCATCCAGATTTTCCGGCGTGGTTCCCCCTTGTCAGTGATGCAGGACAGAGGGCCAGACAAGGACAACGGGCAACTGTCTAGTCGTTTGGACGGGACGAAAAACCGAGGTCCCGTGTACACGCGTGCACGTAAAAGATCCCTTGACAGTTGGAATTCGATATAAGAGTAGGCCGTAGTGCCCTGTCGGGCAAAATTCCCCTCATAGCACGCTGTATGGCGTATGCCCATCTTCATCAGCCCAGTCCGGAGCAGAACAGTAGGATGTTAAACCACATTTTATTTCCCGCTATCACGATTCGTGTTGAAATACGATTGAAATCGTGATTTTAATCGCGGAGTTATCGTGGTGATCCTCTCAGGTCTTGGCATATATTGAGGTCAGTCGTCACAATCTTATTGATTGTATCGAAACGTATCTGAACGTACCAGATCCTGGGCCCTGTTTCTCGAAATCTTAACTAAAGATCAAATCCACATTTTAGTAGATACTTCAATTTTGATTGGCTAAGCACTAAAATCAATATAATATTATCCAATCAAATTACTAAAATGTGGATTTTATCTTAGTTAAAATTTCGTGAAACAGGCCCCTGGACTCAATAGGGACAATCCTACCATAACGCATGTAACAATATTGTCGTTGCGACATTATTTTATTTGGCTTCTTCATTGTCAAAATATTAGCTTTGTTATTAGTTGGTTTAAAACGCAAATTAAATTGTTTATGAAATATTGTAACAATAACAGGACATGGGGTCTAAAGACAAGGAGTGGAGAAATATGATGGCTGAAACAATATCGTTATTTTTACAAATTATTGATTCTAAAGTTCATAACCAGAACCATGGACCTAACCCCAATGTTTACCCTAACCTACAATCTCGCCAACAATCACGTGCTCTAACATCTCAGCGACCTTGACAAAAATTGAGCTGGCCTTAACGAATAGATATAGCCAAAGATTGTCCTAATAAAGGTTTGGTTTAATTCTTTGAGAGGAAGATGCCACATAAATTTATAGAGCTTCGTATCTGATAAAGTTTGGCCTGAATTAAAGTTGAGTTTAATTCTCAGAAGGGATGGGTATCGGGTGCAAGGCAGATGGTGGTTATTGTGTCTAGAACATCCGATAACACTTCTCGTGGTACCTTGAGAGATCTGTGGACTAGCTTACCTATGGCTGTAACAGTTTTATTTTTGTCATCTCTGCTGTTATTAAACTCTGGGCCTCGATATATTGATAGCCATCTTGGCTGAAAAACAAATAAAACATTTCTTGAATAATCTTAATGTGACGCCCATACCGAATCATAAATAAAACGTGTGTTGATTGGGTGTAATGGGTGTGACGCTCCAGCAGAATCAGAAAAAAAAAACATGTAATGGGTGTGACATCCCAGCAGAACCAAAAATCCAACATTTGTTGATTGGGTGTAATGGGTGTGACGCTCCAGCAGAATATAAAAAAAATTTGTTGATTGGGTGTAATGGGTGGGACATCCCAGCAGAACCAAAAAACAAACATTTGTTGATTGTGTGTAATGGGTGTGACGCTCCAGCAGAATAAAAAAAAACATTTGTTGATTGGGTGTAATGGGTGGGACATCCCAGCAGAACCAAAAATCCAACATTTGTTGATTGGGTGTAATGGGTGTGACGCTCCAGCAGAATATAAAAAAAATTTGTTGATTGGGTGTAATGGGTGGGACATCCCAGCAGAACCAAAAAACAAACATTTGTTGATTGTGTGTAATGGGTGTGACGCTCCAGCAGAATAAAAAAAAACATTTGTTGATTGGGTGTAATGGGTGGGACATCCCAGCAGAACCAAAAATCAAACATTTGTTGATTGTGTGTAATGGGTGTGACGCTCCAGCAGAATCAAAAATCAAACATTACAGGAAGGTAATTATCAAATTCCTCCCTTTTTTTCACCCCTTTTTATATATACACAAAGATGTTTAAAATGATTTTCGTTTTTACGACTTTAATTTCATATTGAGTGGCAATATTTCGGATGGAAGTTATTCTAATATTTTGCCGGAATAGACAGACAAAAGTAAAATGGTTATTGTGTTCGTTGTTAGTGAAAGTTTATAAGATGTACAAATGCACCCGTTCCAATATTATTGCCGTCCAGAAGTGGATAATAATAACGAAATAAATCGGACTAGAAGGGGTAAACAACAACCCATTTTATCGTTCGGTAAATTTATGACCCCCATCATATGGACATAAAGGACCAATGTTACACAACTGACAATATTTAGGAAATATCACTTAACACCCTCCATACATAAAATCGATTAGCAATCTTACCAGATGACTCACAGATGGTCGACATTGCACTGGCTTGACACGACTAACAGCCACGCGGAAGTCGATAGTGAAGCCATTAATCATCACAGCTGACCTGAGTTACGCAAGGTCCTTTGTATGGTAAAGCAATCTGTACTGAAAGCTTAACCTGATATTATATGAAGACCCCAGGGGGAAAACTGGCGATATCACGTTTTCTGACTTTTGAGTAAATGGAAATTTCCAGTTTAAAAACTCATTTCTTCAGTTCCAAAGAGTTTTTTTTTAAATATTGCAAGTTTCTATGAAGAATCATGCATTTAGTGAGAACGTTAATTAAGCTGGTGCACACTCCCATAGCATTCCTATGGTGTATTTTGGGCATTTGATTTGACTGACCCTGGTTTGGACATCACCAGTTTTTCCCTTTTATGCCTTTTGAAAAAACCTCTGTAAAGAGTGACATGTCCAGTTGTTCAATACAATATTTATGGAGAAAATCGAAGGGACCAAGGGGTAAAATCAGGGGAAGTAATCGAACAAAAGCATAAATGTGGACATCACCAGTTTTTCCCCTGTGGTCTTCCTATATATAACCAGCTGCAACCTCTGGTCATAATGTAGTCTGAAATATATATAACACTTGTCCGTAGCGGAGTCGTCAACAACTATATGTTCGTTGGGGGCATTAACCCACCCAAGACTGAATACTGACCAATCACTTCACGTGTGGTATCTTGAATTCAAGGCTGGACATCGATCTGGCCCGGTGATATATAAGACCAGATAAAACGTTTGTGTTCAATCCAGGCCAGATAGCCGAGCTGGTTTCAAGACTACTACCAGACAAAGAGAGAGAGAGAGAGAGAGAGAATGGTGTTTAACGTCCACTCGACACAAACTAGGTCATTTCGGGACTAACACGTGGTTCAATTTATTTTAATAATTCGCTAGCGCGTAGGGGTCTTTAGCATTGGGAGGAAACCGGAGAACCCGGAGAAAACCTACGAGGTTGGACAGGCGACCCTACTCCTTGTCACGTACAACCGGGGAATCGAAACCCCGCCAGTTGACTCAATGACAGACCGTATGATACAGCGCTCGACCAGACAAAGAACCTGTATGTATGTTTAAAAGAAGAAATAAAAGTAATATATGAATTTTGAACCCGTGTTGTCGTCAAGAACCTAACATAAAGACCCGATACTGTAACACCATTTTCCAGAATGGGCTTATCTTACGGTATGATGCGAATGTTTTGGGCTCGGTTTTCTTTTTGTGGAGTTATCCCGACTGTCCCTGGGCTAGGGCTGGGGTCTTGTAGACTGACTCTAAAAGCTCCGTGTTAGCCTTTGTGTCCCCATGATGGGCTTCATAAATTTAGCATACTGTAAAAACGGATGAATTGCTGTTTGCCTTCTTATAGGCCGATTTATTATCTCCTTCTGGGCGGTAATAATACTGGACCAGGTGCAGAGAGAGAGAGAGAGAGAGAGAGAGAGAGAGAGTTGGGGTTTTAAGTCCACTCGACAAAAACTAGGTCATTTCGGGACTAACATGGTTCAATTTTATTTCAATAATTCGCTTGTGTGTAGGGGTCTTTGGCAGTGGAAGGAAACTAGAGGACCCGGAGAAAACCCACGAGGTTGGACAGAAAACCCTACTCCTTGTCACGTACAATCGAAACCATTCCATCTGACTTAATGACATACCTTATGATACAGCGCACGTACGCTAACCATTCGGCCATCCAGCCCCCGGCCCGAGCTTGTACAGCGCAGTGGGTGCTTACGGCTGACCCTCGGATCCATTCACTTGATTTGATATTTCTTGCAATGTCTATGCAGTTTGTTGGGTTTGTTTTGCGGGTTGTGCTCCCCCATCCCATCCCCGCTGTACTATTATAGTATATCTAGTGTTCTATTACTGAAATGGGGTTTAACGTCCTACTGTTCTGCTTCGACTAGGCTAATGAAGACGGGCATATGCCATACAGTGTCCTATGAGGTAAATTTTGCCCGGACAGCCGCGCTACGGCCTACTTTTACATGGAATGCGCTCTGCCGAGGGTTCTTTTACGTCCAGGCCAATATATGTACCCGAGACGTCGATTATTCCTTCTATCCGATCGACTTAAAGGGACAATAACACTCTTGCTGGCTTGACAGAAAATAAATAATAGCCTTATTCTAAGTACTAGATGTTTAAGTGTCCTACCTGTTGTGTAAATTATCCATTAAATCCTATCTTACTTGTCCAGAGGGTTCTAAAATATTTTTAAATCCAAGTCACATTTAAAAAGGTTTATGTTAGGCTTTTCAAATCATTTAGTTAACTTTTTCCAATTTTTTAAATTAGGTGTGTTAAGATGAAATTTGTATCACCAATTAATTGGAATATTGTAAAATAGTACAATTTGTTGACCAGAATAAAGATTGGGACATATTATTCAGTTACAACAAGAGTGGTATTGAGCCTTTAAGATGCATACAAGACAGTTAGCTACGAAAATCTGTCACATAAGAAAACATCTTTCACATTTTATTCCAAAAAAGCTTATGACCCCGTCAGAACGGAGTGGCGTCCTTACTGCTGCGACCGTATGGCACAAGGTTGTCGATAAACGTGAACACAACGCGAGAAAATGTCCCAAAAAATTACAAACTTGAAAAGAATCGCCTTCTCACAGCTTTCCATGTCAGGTCGCAGAACCATTGAACATGCTCAAAACAAACTCCGTGACTCGGCGATCATTGACGACCATGAAGACCACAGCCCAATATCTGGCGTTTCCACCATGAGCGATCTTGACGCCCTCTAAGACCATTTTCCGTCGCCGTAGCGGCGCAGTAAGGAAGTAAGTTCGCCACCCGGTCTGACAACTTACCGTTTTAAAGATGAGAATCTTTTCATCCTGCATTCTCTGTGATATGTACATAAATAATACACATATTGCAACACACAATCCAAGAATAACTTTTAAATTTTTCAACGGTAGCAACATTATTTTCTGTAACGTTATCAGACACTTGGTAAGAAATCGAATGGATTTTCTACGAACAAACAATTAATCAAAACCAATCCTTTGCATCATGCTACTTTGTTAATTCCCTTTAAACTTTCCCGTCATTTTATGAACACATAATATTAATACTCAAACTTTGTTCAAATAGTTCACATCCTCTGGGACCTTGGTATAGGATCGTTGTAATAAAAATTGTTCACATCCTCAGGGGCCTTCATGTATTTCTCGCACACAGGATCGTTGTAATAAAAATACCAATGTGTTTTTCTCGATGGCCCAATCTCCAATCACTTCTAAAGATAATACACTGTGGTCTCGGTGCCCATTGTAAAGAGTAAAAAGAAACAGAAGAAAGCCAGATGCTCAAATAGTAAATCTAAAATTGATTTTCGTAAAAGAAGAAAAAAAAACAAAACAACGTAAGCTATTGGTGTTTTCTATACGTGGATAAAGCTATACATATCCGATATTTCATTTTATGAACTGATTATTTGACACAGTAACAGCTTTTTTTTATTATTTCTTCAACTTACGTTTTTAGATATCGACTTCTTACAAGTAAAATATGACAGCTTTTCAAATACTAAAAACCATGTAAAGGTAAAGGGGGTTGGATGGCTGAATGGTTAGCACGTGCGCTCTGTATCATAAAGTCTGTCATTGAGTCTACTGGCGTGGTTTCGAATCCCCGGTTGTACGTGACAAGGAGTAGGGTCGCCTGTCCAACCTCGTGGGTTTTCTCCGGGTCCTCCGGTTTCCTCCCACTGCTAAAGACCCCTACGCGCAAGCGAATTATTGAAATAAAAATAAACCATATGTTAGTCCCAAGATGACATAGTTTGCGTCGAGTGGGCGTTAACACCGCTCTCTCTCTCTCGCTCTCTCTCGCTCTCTCTCCTGTTATATAGTATATGAGTGCGAATTTGTCTGATGTCAGTCAGATACCAGACATAGTATCTGTGTCGTGTAAAGATTTGGTGACTGATGTATAGGACCTAGCTAGTACTGGGAAATGTGAAAATGAAATGAAATGGGGTCAGCTACCACTGGGCTAATGAAAACGGGCATACACCATACAGTGTGCGATGAGGGAAATTATGGCCTACTATTATATCGAATCTGAACTGTCAAGCATCTTTTACGTGTACGCCAATGTATACACGGAACCTCGAATTTTCGTCCTATCCGAACGACTAGATAGCTGTCCTTGTCAGTGGTGCAGGACGGAGGGGCTGTCAAGGGGAAACCACATCGGAAAATGCCGATGAACGTTCTCGGCTAATGCAGGGATCGAACACGCAACCTCCAGACTAGCGAGCCAGCGTCTTACCAACTTAGTCACCGTGGCTCCCCGGAGAAATATGAAAAGGAAGACATTGTAAATATGTAAAATCAGATGAAATAAATTGTTTATTAAAATACAGTAGGACAGCTTGTACATATATATCCACGTAGTATATTGTTGACACAATTATATAGTACTTATAGATAGCAATAACTATATTATATTAAGTTGGACATTTCTGAATCGTTTTACGTCAGAGTGACATCTGTGACATATTAAATATGGACATTAATTGTACCATGTGCTTATTATAACTATCTTTATGCCAATAGATTCCCTGGTTGTACGTGACAAGAAGTAGGGGCGCCCGTCTAACCTCGTGGGTTTTCTCCGGGTCCTCCGGTTTCCTTCCACTGCTAAAGACCCCTACGCGCAAACCAACTATTGAAATAAAATTGGACCATATGTTAGCCCCGAAATGACCTAGTTTGTGTCGAGTGGACGTCCACTCTCAACTAATAGATTTCCCGGTTGTACGTGACAAGGAGTAGGGGCGCCTGTCTAACCTCGTGGGTTTTCTTCGGGTCCTCTGGTTCCTTCCACTGCTAAAGACCTAGTTTGTGTCGAGTGTACACGTTGGTCTGCACGTAAATGAACCTATGACTGTTTGAATTCGATTAAGAGTAGGTTGTAGCGCCGCAAAATGTCCCTCATAGCACACTGCATGGCGTATACCCGGTCATTCATTTCAAGGTGGCATCGAATAAAAAAACTAAAAAAAAATTTTTCAAATTTAAAATCATAGCTGTTAACTTCGGCGTACAAGCTGCCCTACTTAATTTGAATAATTATATCTGAAAAGCACCGGGGAAGTATCTCCGGCCTTTGTTGGCCAGCAATCATTTGCAGAGCCCCGGGGAAGAACGTTCTAAGTCACTTTTTCAACGAACCCCAGTTAATGGCGCTATCTGGTAGCAAATTATATAAGCTTTCTGTGGAACAATCAATTTCAGGTGAAAACCATGATCGCAGTCACATCGAACCAAGGCCCTTCTCTTTATTTGACCTTAATTTGGCTGAAAAGTGGAAGTCAGTTGTTGTACCGGTAATTATGATTCGTATTAAACATCATTTTGAAGTTGTAATTAAACCGACTCGTTGTTCTGTTCGCGTCAAGCATTCTAGTCCAAAAGTCTGTTTTGCCTTCTATGCGAAAAGACAAAAATGTGACTTAGAACGTTCTTCCCCTGGACTCTGATTACGTTAAAAACGCTTTGTTCGATTTTAGGGCTATAGAATCCATTGCGATATTATGACAGTTGAAACCTCTTATAGGACTGTCAGTCCAAAATAAGGGAGCCACGGTGGCTAGGTGGTTAAGACGCTGGCTCGCTAGCCTGGAGGTCGGGTGTTCGATCCTTGCATTGGCCGAGAAAGTTCATCCAGATTTTCCGACGTGGTTTCCCCTTGTCAGTGGTGCGGGGGGGTTGGATGGCTGAATGGTTAGCGTGAGCGCGCTGTATCATAAAGTCTGTCATTGAGTCGACTGGCGTGGTTTCGAATCCCCGGTTGTACGTGGCAAGGAGTAGGGTCGCCTGTCCAACCTCGTGGGTTTTCTCCGGGTCCTCCGGTGTCCTCCCACTGCTAAAGATCCCTACGCGCAAGCGAATTATGTAAATAAAATTAAACAATATGTTAGTCCCGAAATGACCTAGTTTGTGTCGAGTGGACGTTAAACCCCATTTCTCTCTCTCTCTCTCTTGTCAGTGGTGCAGAAAGGAGGGCCTGACTAGGACAGCTCTCTAGTCCTTTGGATGAGACGAAAAACCGAGGTCCCGTGTATATATTGGAATGCACGTAAAAGATCCCCTGGCAGTTGGAATTTGAGTAGGCGATAGTGCCGCTACCCGGGCAAAATTTCCCTCATAGCACACTGTAAGGCGTATGCCCGTCTTCATTAGCCCAGTATAGGAGCAGAACAGTAGGACGTTAAACCTCATTTCATCTCATCTCAGTCCAAAATGGTTTAATGCCGTATGTACGGAAATAAATCAATAAATACTTATCTACCTTGTATTTAATAAACGACTTATTACTAAATCAATAACATTAAAATAACTGCTTATTAAAAGAGACATTCTGTCAATTCCTAGAATAATGTTTCAGGGGAGTATAGACCATGTTTTCAAATGTTACAGTTTAAAGAATAATGTTTCAGAAGATTTTATACCATGTTTTCAAATGTTACAGTTTAGAGAATAATATTTCAGAAGAGTTATACCATGTTTTCAACTAATTTAAGAGTATTACAGTTCATAGAATAATGTTTAAGAAGAGTTTATGCCATGTTGTCAACTAATTTAAGAGTTTATTCTGGCCGAGACATAATAATCTTATCATCGACGGGTCGTCCCTTTTAAATAGAGTACTTCAGTACATAGAATATTATTATACCATGTTTCAACTACCGGTACTTTAAGAGTGTATTATTCTGGTCAGATTGAGACCGTGGTGTACACCAAGGATAGAATCTAAAGCATGCCTTCTCTCCAGTCCCTGGATCATGCGTTGAATGAGCAGGGATTATATATATAGTGTGTATGCTTTATAAATATATCGTATAAAAGTTTTCAAATCACAAATTGTCACACTTAGAAATATGAATTATGTGCACATTTTGATTTTATAAAGTTAATAATATTGTGAACTGTTAATGCAGCACGGCTTGTTCCATGGAGTATTGCTGTTAATAATTGAATATTGCTGTTTACCAATCTTTCCTCAAAGATTATGTATAGAGATTCTAGTGGATAACTCTAATAAAGTATGGACACTACCCAACAAAGATCAATTACATTCTCATGGTCATTACAGTTACCGATTCTTTAATATTGCTTGACTGGTAAAGGGAATTGAATCTAATCTTGGGCCAGTGTGCTCTTTGGTGTTTTTTAATACATCAACCTCCGGGGCTTTGTAAACAAGATACAGACAATAAGACAAGGTGTTTTACAAGACAAGATACAGACAAAAAGACAAGGTGTTTTATAAAACAAGATACAGACAATAAGACACGATACCGCCAATAAGACAAGATACAGACAATAAGATACGGTGTTTTATAAAACAAGATACAGCCAATAAGACAAGGTGTTTTACAAAACAAGATACAGACCATAAGACACGGTGTTTTATAAAACAAGATACAGACAATAAGACAAGATACAGACAATAAGACGAGGTGTTTTACAAAACAAGATACAGACAATAAGACAAGGTGTTTTATAAAACAAAATACAGACAATAAGACAAGATACAGACAATAAGACGAGGTGTTTTACAAAACAGGATACAGACCATAAAACATGGTGTTTTATAAAACAAGATACAGACAATAAGACATGGTGTTTTATAAAACAAAATACAGACAATAAGATACGGTGTGTGTTACAAAACAAGATACAGACAATAAGATACGGTGTTTTATAAAACAAGATACAGCCAATAAGACAAGATACAGACAAAAAGACACAGTGTTTAACAAAACAAGATACAGACCATAAGACATGGTTTGTTACAAAACAAGATACAGACATTAAGATACGGTGTTTTTCAAGACAAGATACGGACAATAAGATACAGTGTTTTACAGACAATAAGATACGGAGGCCTACAAAACACCACTACCACCATGAGCAAGAAGAAGATAAACCATTTTATATTCATCCTCGGCCTCTCTCTAGGAATATGTTTAAGTATTATATATTTCTCACAGTCCACGACAAGTATCATGCCCCGGATGATACCTGACCAGGTAAGTCTCAAGCACCGCCACCATGTACACCATTAACTTATGAACCATTGACCGGTTTGAATGGGGGGGGGGGGGTGGCCGAATGGTTAGCAAGTGCGCGCTGTATCATAAGGCCTGTCATTGAGTCAACTGACGTGGTTTCGAATCCCCGGTTGTACGTGACAAGGAGTAGGGTTGCCTGCCCAGCCTTGTGGATTTTCTCCGGGTCCTCCGGTTTCCTCCCACTGCTAAAGACCCCTACGCGCAAGCGAATTATTGAAATAAAATTAAACCATATGTTAATCCCGAAATGACCTAGTCTGTGTCGAGTGGACGTTAAACCCCATTTCTCCCTCTCCCTCTCCGGTTTGAATGTTTTTATTATTAAATTGTACCAGTCATCGGTACTCTAAACTAATGTTTAGTACGTACATGGGCATAAGGACCGCCCGATAAATATAAGTAGGGGGTGGGGGGCTCGAAATGGCTCGAGACAAAATGTTTTAATCCATAGTCAATTCAGTACAAATTCGTGGTATTTAATTTAAAAAAAAAGTAAAATTAGTGATCCATTAGATTTCAGGCACTTTATTTGGCCAACCAGCGATGATATATTAATTTTTTTTTTCACTTTACCCTTCTGCCCGAAAAGTCAAATGGGGGAGGGGGGGGGGGGGTCGTGGTACAATAAGTTTTATTCATGGAAATTATTTCCATCCAAGACATTTGCCGATCTAGGAGCAACTTTGACTCAGTGAGTAACGGAGCTGGTTCGTTGACCCGAAGGTCGCGTGTTCCATCCCTGTGTTGACCGAGAAAATTCGTTGGGATTTTCCGGCGCGGTTCCTTCTTGAAGTGGCAACGGATGCGACGAAAAACTGAGGTCCCGTGTACACGTTGGTGTGCACATAATACAACATTTGGCAGATGGAATTAGTCCATACATTGGTATGCACGTAAAAGATCCCTTGACAGTTGGAATTCGATATAAAAGTAGGCCGTAGTGCGGCTGTTCGAGCCGAATTTCCCTCAATCACACTGTATGGCGTATGCCCGTCTTCATTAGCCCGGTCGGAGTAGAACATGTTAAAACCCATTTCATTTCATTTCGAAAACATTGTGTTTAAAATTATTTTTATTTACTTTCACTTTCAGTTGAGTGTACGATCAACACCACGTGCAGCTGTTGTAAAAAACACGATCAATAACATAGTAGCAGAGACCATAAACCACGACATCGTGGCTAAATTTAAAGGACCAACTGTCCAGCCAATAGGTTCGTAGAGTAACCCCTTTTCTTTTTATCAATTCCGACAAAGCCGAAAATTCTCCATTTAAATCTGCCCCTTGCAGGTCTTTCTTTAGGCCTGAGATGTTATCTAAATTATTAATTGACCATTAATTAACTTATCCAGACTTTAATCAACTACCGATGTCATCGCTAACCTGCGATATTTACTGGATTAGGATACGATTTGCTGCTCAACTTTCATTCATGATTTAATCATGAAATGGATAATCGAGACTATGTTTTTTATCGTACCGACTTTAGTAATGAAGATCGAGGCAAGGCCGAAAATTCAATCGCTAAAATCTGGGTTTAGAGTGGATCAATTTGACTGAAATTTTCAGCAAATTCCCTTTACATTATCTAGTTTTTTAACTATTTTAGTGAGAACTGCCAGCTGTTTATCTAATCTTCCATAATGTATCTTTAATTGTGTTGGATCAAAATAAAACTGTCACTTGCCAACCGTACATTATCTATACTAGATGAAACATTGGACTCGTCTAACGTATTTCATCGAAAAGCGAGTGCGGGATAGTGTCTGTATTTTAAGTTGTTTAATGGTCTCGAGATAAAGACATTGCGTAATATATTGAAACAACACTCGGCTAACGGTGCAGTATCACTATAATTTTTATTACTTAATGTCTCGCTCTCGGACCATTAAACCATAGATATTAGCGCGAGTTCAGACATGCATAAATTGATATTGTCCGAAAAAAGCAAATGGCGTATCGTTACTTTAAATAATTCAACTTTTCAATCAAACATAACTCAAACAAAGAATCGACTTTAACATAGAGCGGTGAGAATACAGCCGTCTAAACCTTTTGTCGTGTTCACAGATGTTGTTAACGATTTATTATAATATTCTATTCGGACTCCAATACCTATTCAAACTCCAATAAATATTCACACATGTACATTAAATGGATTTGTGAATAAATTAAGAGTCTTCAAAGATTTTGTGACCAATAGAATTCCACTAGACTTAAATAGTGCATAATCAGGTCGTTAGCGTTATTGACTTCCGGGATAGAATGACTTCCGGGATAGAATGACGTTGACGCTATAAACAACTTTAGTACACAGCTGTTCTATTATAAGACTTCAATTCATTAGTGACGTCATCAATTCTTCCTTGCCCCGACTTCACAAAGCATTCTCAGACTTAAGTTCAGAATTTACTCAACTTTCAATCACTGTTGATGGAAAAAATCTTTGATCCAGGAACACAAAACTTTGCAAATAGTTTCTTATTGATGTTTTTTAAAGAGCTATATTTTAGTTAAAATAAGGCGAACAATTTTGACTAAGTTCTTAATTTAAGCCCGAGAATGCTTTCCCTTGTGCCAAGTATATGACCATCAAAAATTTGGCTGATTGTCTGCCCACAACCATTCGAATTATCAATAGAAATACATACCATATGGGGTATTAAAATACAGATATGACGTCACCCTCTGATATTGACGTATCACTATTTCAAGGGTAACATGCCAATCGTACATTATTTAAATATTGGACTCGCGTGGCGTTTTCACCGAAATACACGTGCGAAATAGTTTCTGTATTTTAAGTTGTTCAATTGTGTCTATCACGACATGCGTAATTTATTGAAATAACACTCGGACTGGCGTCCTCATGCAGTATCAATATATTACTTATTGTCTCGGTCTCGACCCCAAACGTTACATTCGGCAAACCTCGACAGATTCTACGCATCTAATCTCGGCTGTATGACGAATTCCGCCATATTTGAACTATTTTAAAGGTCCCGGATGAAAAATGGCTGCGCCCATGGAGATTTCTGTGGAGAGTGTATTATATCAACAAACGTCCGGTTTGGGATTGGGTTTGGGGAATTACCAGGGAATTTGATCAAACCAGCAGCCTTGAGACAATATATCTGCTCGTTTAGTTATATACACTCGACAAAAAACGCCATTTTGGGACTTTTTTCGTAAAAGCTGCACGTTTTCCTGTTAAAGTAAACCGATAGCCGCATCGCAAATGTATGGGCGTGGGTACATATCAATTACTATCATACAGCCGAGGTTAGATGTAGGGTACCGGAATCTGCCGAGGTTTGCCGAGTGCAAACGTTAATGGCGTTGGTGCACATGACGTCATTTTAGTGAAGTCATCGACGCCATATTGGTTAATCCAAAACAGTGTCTTTCTAATTCTTTTTACGATACGCCCATCAATTATGTTTGTAAAGAAGGAAGATTACTAAATCTGTTGACGGGCGGGCGGACGGACGGAAGGGCGAACAAGGGCGACGACTATATGCGTAGAAAAAAAAATTGTGATAAACAGACTTTATGTGGCAATGGAATCAGGTGGACGGAATTATCCCACAGGGTAAACGAAATTACTTTGATCGTGTCTAAAAGGGGCCTTTATTAAATATTGTACTTGGAAAAATAAGACTATATACCAGTGACATTTCTACGTCAACCAGGTAATGGATGTTGAGTTCTGGATCTTCGATGTTTTGTTTTGTTTTTTTGGGTTTTTTTTTGCGTATTGCTGGCAAAAAATAGAGTTTTATTTATTCAACATAGACAATTAAACATACATTATGCAAGAGCTGAATTGGCAGACTTTTGAAATGATGATCGAGGCTAGGCCGAAATTTCAATCGTTTAATTCTCGGTTCACATAGGATCAATTTGACTGAAATTTCCAGCATATTCCCTTTACATTATTTAGTTTTTAACTATTATAGTGAGATAGGTCAGCTCTTTATCTTATCTCCCATAATGTATCTTTAATAAGGTTTTGGGTTAACCAATATGACGTCAATGAATTCATTTGTGATCACATTATGTCGTCTCCAATCCATTAAAGCTTCTTGATCATGACTTACTAAGAACTCTTTCTTTCTCCTCACCCGATCTGTTTCCATGTTTACTACACTTCGTCAGGACTAAGGGGATATAACTCTGGTTAATTTCTTTACAGTTGGGACCAATGAAGCTTTGAAACTGGAAAAAGAAGTTCGTGTTTTATGCTGGATAATGACGTCACCGAAAACCTTAAATTGGAAATGTGATGCGGTGAAGAAAACGTGGGGTAAGAGATGCAACAAGGTCCTTTACTTCAGTTCCAAGACCGATGACAACTTTCCCGCCATTGGATTAAATGTTTCTGAGGGTCGTGAACATCTTACCGAAAAAACAATGATGGCGTTCACGTACATTTATCGCAACCATTTTAATGACGCTGATTGGTTCATGAAAGCCGATGACGACACTTACGTCATTGTGGAAAATCTTCGATATTTTTTATCGACGAAGAATTCCAGCCTTCCGGTATATTATGGACATTGGTTCAAGCCATACATCAAACAAGGATATTATAGCGGTGGTGCTGGTTATGTTCTAAGTAAAGAAGCCCTGAGAAGATTTGGTAAATTCAGCAACAAATCGTGTGTAAAGGAGGGAAAATTCGAAGATTTAGATTTTGGAAAATGTATGGAAGCGCTTCGAGTTAAAACCGGAAGTTCTCATGATGATCTTGGCAGAAGTAGATTTCATTATAGTAAGCCGGGTGACATGTTGCACCGGATATTCCCGTCTTGGTATTTAGAATATGATAAATATGGTGGTAAAAAGGTAAATACAAAAACAAAAATCAAATCAGCAATTCCACGATTTTGTTTTTATTTTCGGTTTTTATCAATCTGATTAAAGTACAGATCTTTATTTCGTTTCGGTTTTTTAATGAAAGGAAATGAAATGGGGTTTAACGTCCTACTGTTTTGCTCCGAACTGGGCTAATGAAGACGGGCATACGCCATACAGTGTGCTATGAGGGAAATTTTGCCCGGACAGCGGCACTACGGCCTACTCTTATATCGAATTCCAAATGTCAAGGGATCTTTAACGTGCACGCCAATGTGTACACGGGACCTCGGTTTTTCGTCCCACCCGAACGACTAGACGAACGACTAGACAGCTGTCCTTGTCAGCCCCTCCGTCCTGCATCACTGACAATCTGGATGAACTTTCTCGGCCAATGCAGGGATCGAACCACCGACCTCCAGGCTAGCGAGCCAGCGCCTTACCCACTTAGCCACCGTGATCCCCCCCGGTTTTTTAATACTTTCGATGGCCTACAATACATCCAGATATGACCAGTTGCTTTGGGAGGGCGTGTCAGAGGTCATACGAACAGCTTTTGACCCTATGACGTCAGACATTTGATTAACCAATCAGCATTGATGTTTCTAGTGGTTTACCCACAGTTCCGTGCACCTCACCCCTAAAGTTCGCCCTAACAGACCGTTTTATTGGCAAATCCCTCACATCATTTAGAACACGTCAATGATAACAACTCTTCCAGATCCTAGTGTAGTAAAGTAAAACGAAATTTTGAACGATAAGAAAACGAAACGAAATAGGATCTGTGTTTTAATCAGATTGGGTTTTTTTATCTATGTTTATTGTTCAGGTTGGATGGTGGGTACTCTGGTAGCTATATATTTGACGGGCAATTGGCTTTATTTAAAGGACCTAAGTCCGTAACTCAAAATCCTCCAAAATATTCGACATCGAAAACACGAATTATTGGTCAATTTAAATCAACATTGATGATGTAAACTTACCGGGAAAAGATGAGCTTCTGATATCCGATATTTAAGATAAAATAATTTTTTTAACATTGGTACACGAATCGTGTACCATAATGCGCTTCAGTCCCAGTTGTATTGAGAGACTCGAGGGACGAGGCTAGACACATTGCACCAAATCAAATGGAGTTATGTAGACTAGAATAACTAGACGCTAGAAATTTGCACTCGATTGAGATTGCTGACTTATTTCGCCGAACATAACTGATTTGAAATTGGAGTAAAAACGGAAACCATTAAATGTAAATCAGTTTATATACATTCCTATTACAGTATTATATGCGTTGCGACCCACTTTTGTGAATTTCTAGGTCCCAAATGTTAGCGATTTAGCTCCTTTAAAAGTAGATCACGGTGGCTCAGTGAGTAAGGTGATAGCGCACTAGCCTGGTGTTCCTGGGTTCAATTATGTGTTGGCTGAGACATTAAACATTGTTACATTGTTTATAACAATACGAACAATCCGTGGTGTAGTGTGGACCGGGGTGGGTGTGGCAAAATGGTTTAACGCCTGCGTTTCAAATAATAAGGTCTGTCATCATTGAGTGAAGTGACGTGGTGTCGAGCCCAAGCTGGTAAGTGACAAGGAGTAGGTTCGCCTGTCCAACCTGGCGGGTTTTCTCCGGGTTCTCCGGTTCCCGCATACTGCTAAATACCCCTACGCGCAAGCGAATTATTGAAGCAAAATTTAACCAACTGTTATTTCTGAAATGACTTAGTTTGTGTCGAGTTGACATTAAACCCCATCTCTCTCTCCCGCTCTCTCTCCCTCTCTCTCTCTCTCTCTCTCTCTCTTAAGATACGACTATTATCTATTATTCACTATGGTCACGTGTTCTTTTATGTGCACTGAAGTCTGTACACATATCGACCTCAATTGTCGCCCCATCCGAATAACGAGGCAACCCGTTTCTTATCAGCACCGCGGACTTAGATGTTCCGATGGAACTTTTAAAATGCTGTGTCTATTTGGCCCTGTTTTATAATATTTAATGGATATTTGTGTTTTGTAACCTATTCGATCTATGACGTAGATAAGTTGTATCAGATATGTTTTGATATATCTGATATTTTTTATATTTTTTATTATATTATAGGATCTACAATGGCATAGAATATTTTCTATATTTTTGATATTTTTTATATTTTTTTTTATGTTATTTTTATGATTTTAAAATATATGACGTAGAGTATGTTTTTATATATTTTCAGAATACCATGAGTGACTACCCCGTCTCCTTCCATTATATGACACCTAAGGCTATGTTCACGATGGAATATTATGTCTATCATTTGAAACCGTATGGTATACCCAGCAAATGAAAGCTGAACTGACTCATGGCATAACCAGCAAATTAAAGCGGAGTGGACTTACTGTATCGTCTCCAAATGAAAGCTGGACTGACTTAAGGTATACCCAACAAATTAAAGCTGGACTGACTTACGGTATTCCCAACAAATTAAAGCTGGACTGACTTACGATATCCCCAACAAATTAAAGTTGAACCTACTCACGGTATCCCCAACAAATGAAAATCTTTTGTTTTTATCTCTTCTGAAGGTGAATGTGGTCAAATAGAACAGGAACAATTTTGTAAAAAAAAAAACAATTTGTGGGAAGAAATAAAATATTTGAAGAATGCTGGCCTTTCATTGGCTAAGAGCTACTATTTGAATTCCTAACCAATGGAAAGACAGGATCCTCACAATATCTTAGTTTAAGCTTTTGTGACTATGGCCCCTGTTCGTAAAGTATACTTCGGGCTCTGTGTAGAGTATTCTGTAACCCCCCCCCCCCCAGTCGTCTTTATAGATTGGCACTTCTCGTATGGTTTCTTCGAGGCTATGATGTGTCGTTGATCTCAAAATAAATAAAATAACAGAAAACTGAGCAGAATGAAAGGCCCAACAGAAAGCGTGAAATCGAGGATGAGGGTTTGAGTGTACAATTTCTGTCATGTAACTTGCATGGTATTCTTGGTAATTTAGGACAAAAACAGTCCTAAATACGCCAAAAAGTAGCCGTTGAATTTGTCAAAATCGTAGATTGTATGTTAAGCTAAATTTAATATATTTTGGGACGAGATTAATCGAAGTTACATCCCTGTAACATTTTTGTAACAAAACCTGCTAAAAGGAAGTAGAGTCATCCACTGCTGTGGCTGGGACCAAGACTCGAATTATCAGTAGTGTGGAGCGATTCATATATCTAATTCAATGATTAATAAGTTTTGTTACAATATCATATGTGTAAGAGAACCGCATTGCACGGAAATAAAACCAATGAAACAAACAACACATATCAAATTAAGTGAATGGAATCCGGGTGGGTGAGTGGGGCGGGGTGCAGCCCTAAGCGTCCACTAAGCTGTACAGCCCCGGGCCTGTAATATAATGTCGAGTGGCCCCACTATTGTAGTAAGAGAAGTAAAATAATTTATTTTACTGAAAAACCGAAAACAAAATCAGTATTATTACACTACTTTGCATTGGAAACCGCGCTGGCTCAGTGAGTAAGGCGTTGGCACGCTAGCCTGTTCGATCCCGGTTTTGGACGAGAAAGTTCATTGGGATTTTCGGGTGTCCTTCCTCCCTGTGGGTGGTGTACAGGACGTAGTACCAGATCCCATGTACGTAGAAAGAACATTTGACAGCTGGAATTCGAAATTGCACGTGGGCCGTAGTGCCAGGTCCCGTGTACGTACAGAAAGAACATTTGACAGCTGGAACTCGAAATAGCACGTGGAGCGTAGTGCTAGGTCCCGTGTACGTAGAAACACACTTTGCCAGCTGGAATTCGAAATAGCTATGCGGGAAAAATTGCAATCGACGCACTCTGTATGGCGAATGTCCGTCTTTAATACTAGCCCCATCGGTACAGAACAGTAGGACGCTTAACTCCATTTCATTTTCACTTTGTATCGATCGACGACACCGTATTTATTGTAAGTTGGGTTTCCAAAGGAACAATTATATAGACCATTACGTCATCCATTAAGAGTGACAAGAATAAGTCAATCGATTTCCATCAATTTGTTATAAATGCATTCTAAAGATTCTTAAACATCTAAAATTTCAATCGATCTACACAGTCAAGAGGACGAAAACTACGGAATATGTTTTAAAATTATTTTAAATATTTATATAGAATATCTGGTGGCCCATTAAACAAACTGAGTACAGCATTTGAAGTGGAATAATTCCAATAGTATCAAACCTATATATTATTAACAACGTCGCTGAAATCAATAAGTAACTTGATATTATTGTGTCATGTGTTATAACAATTGACATGTTCTACCATATGGATGCTGGACAATTTCACTCTAAATTATCGGGCCCATCTCTTAAAGAATTTCAATTATGTATTTCCGTAAAAACGATTGGTCAACATTTTCCCCATCTGTTACCAAGCGATTTTTCCACCAAGAAATCGGGGTGGGGGGGGGCTTAATGCGTGCGCCTTGGATCAGACGGTCTGTCATTGAGTCAAGTGGCGTGGGTTCGATTCCCCGCTTGTATGTGACAAGGGGAAGGGCCGCCTGTCCAACCTCGTGGCTTTTCTCCCACTTCTAAAGAGCCCTAGGTGGATTAATATTGCTAGAATGTTTGCTCTTATAATTAATGATAGCATTATATTGTATTAATTAATATCTCTGGCCAGTTAGTGGATTCGCATGTTTGTACTTTAATCAAGTTAGCGAGTGAGTGACAGATGGACACATAAAAAGAGTGTTAGAGCCAAAACATAGCTGGTTTTGTGTGTCAACAAAATTACATGTGATTGGAAATTTACCTATTGCATCATTTGGTTTAAGGGACCAATCATATTAGTAGTGGCACAGGTTCAGGGTCATAAATACACTAGTTTTGTGCGTGTTGTTTATAGGTTCTATAAAAGAAATCGTGGCAAACTTTTTAGCCAGATTCCATTGGATTCCGGAGAGATTACCATCTGTTTGCCTAGTCGATCCGCAGACAGGTTCTGGAAGGGAAAAGATGTAGCAATTTCTATCAGCAGACTCGCCCAGCGAGTCTGGCTGAATGAGGTTTGAGAGAATGACTTTATTCTTTTATGCATTGTAACATATGTAAGCAGCTATGATATATAAAATGCAAAATCGAACTCTTATAGAGCAGATGAGAGTAAGACTCATAGATCTAAGGTAGCTTGAATGCCCCATGGGTATTGACCACCTGTGATCGTCAAAACATTGACTATGCTTATCTCATTAAATTTAATGAACTTGTTTGATCAATTTACAACCACCATCTCTCTCTCCCCCTCTCTCTCTCTCTCTCTCCGCCCAGAAATCGAATTTCGTTTCTCTTCTAAGATTATTTCTACACATTTTGATTGAACTGTATCTTTCAGTTCATTTTCCGTAAACATTTTCTGACAGACTGTTCCTGATGGCGTAATCCATCGGACACAGAACCTAGGACTGGGATTCGCAGTTAATTTAACCTGCTATAGCATGCTGTTGTTGATGGGCGATGCTGAGAACTGATGGGGTTTATCCCCATAAGTACTCAATGGTTCACACCAAACCGGGGCTATAACACGGGACGTTACGGTTTGATTCGCACTAACCACAACTCTTATATAATTTGATACTTAAAGGGCGCATGGCTCTGTACTTTTGTACCTTGAAATAGGCGAAAACGCAAATTGGTTTATAGGCACATATTGATGTGATATGAATGAATATAAAGTTATTTATATTCATTTTTTAAAAAAATAATATTGTAAGGTCTAGTCAGTTAAATTCGGCGCAATACCGGAACAGTCGAAATTGAACGGCAGTCTTTTCCATCTACTCGGGGATCACGTGGCTAAATGGGTAAGACGCTGGCTCGCTAGCCGGGAGGTCGGGTGTTCGATCCCTGAATTGACCGAGGAAGTTCATCCAGATTTTCCGGCGTGATTTCCCCTTGTCAGTGATGCAGGACGGGGGGTCTGACAAGGACAGCTGTCTAGTCGTTCGGGTGGACGGAAAACCAAGGTCCCGTGTACATATTGGCGTGCACGTAAAAGATCTCTTGGCAGTTGGAATTCGATATAAGAGTAGGCCATAGTGCCGCAGTCCGGGCAAAATTTCCCTCATAGCACACTGTTTGGTGTTTGCCCGTCTTCATTAGCCCAGTTTAGGAGCAGAACAGTAGGACGTTAAACCCCATTTCGTTTCATTTCATTTTTTTCCATCTACTAAGTCCATTACACACGTTTTTTAATTATGATTTTGTCGTTTGTGAATCAGCCATTACTAATTTCTTCTACATTGTCTTGTAGGATATATTTGTCTTTGTTTATTACAAATGGCGCCCGACAGAATAGAGTACACGACTCGAGTACTGATAAAATGTCCATTGTGGCTTAAATATTGGATACTAGAATCCCATATTTTCACGGCAGGATAACAGCATCACTTATGATTGCAATGGCAATACTCAATTCCAATTATTTGTTTTTATTTCGAATATTATGGACAATATACAGTTAGAGATTTAGCTCCTGTAATGAATATTATGCACAATATACAGTTAAAGATTTAGCTCCTTTAATAAATATTTTAAGTTTGATCTAAATCGGACTAAAATTCTACCCACTTTACAGATATTTCACATTTTGTGTAAAGGACAGGAGGCAGAACCCAAGAAGTTGCGGTCCGATAAGCACAAAAATCGAACTCCGTCACGATCAAATATGGTGTCATCTAGGGGGTCTATAACCTTGATATATGTATGACACTGTGGTTTTCTATATCCAGCGACCCGTCCAGTGTTACAAGGCCCTCAGATTTTAGCCAACTTCCGGTAATCCCGGTTATAAATGGCACGTTATTGTTCGCCCTGTTAACATCTGCTGCTCCAGTGATCCAGTGATCCAGTTTTCCAGTATTCTATTCTATTCTATTCATCATGGACCCGATAGTTAAAACCTACCAAGTGCCAGAAGAAGAAACAAGTCGCATATCTACCACGTGGCGGTCAGCAGCACGGAGAGATTAACCGACAGGGGAATCTTGAAGTTTCTGATTGGCAAGTTCGGCAAGTGGGAAGATATCTTGACCATCCACAAACGTTTTACTAAAGTAGTCACCCTCACAGTCTACGACTTCCCTGTATCCTACTCAGATAATTACTTCTCAGAAATTATGGGTGACATCGGATATGTAAGAACTTTTCAAGGCCAAAAACTACCGGGCATCAATGTTTACAAAAGAGTAAGCGAAGTTGAAATAGAGATCCAGAATAAGAAATTTAAAGATAAACCCCAACTGATAATATTAAAAGCCCATTACGGAGATGCAAGAGTACGAGTAGTCACGCCAGGCCAACCTTCTCCATGCTTTAGATGCGAGAAGTTTGGCCATTCACGAAGGGAGTGCCCTCTCTGGGCCCATGGAAAAGACAAGGAAAAAAAGACAGCTCCAATAGTTCCAACAGTCCCACCAACCACAGTACAGACCGTCAAAGACAGCAAGCCAACAGTCCCAGAAAGTAAACCACCAGTAACCCAGACTCCACCAGTTGAACCTAAAGCTCCAAAAAGAAGAAGAGGGGGAGAAGCTAAATCCTCAACAACATTAGAAATATCAAATGAAAAGAATTTCACTTAACCTAGAATTCCATCACTA